GCCGCCGACGCAGGCTTCTTCGGCAGGCATTAATTGGCCCCTTGGGAAGTGGGCATCCTATAGGGAACAGATGCAAAGTCACCCCAAGGATGAGTCTAAAGAGGAGGCCAGCGAGAGGGAGGAGGGGGGTGAAAGGCTGCCAGCCAGGCCAGGAGCCTGGGGGAGGGGCTGCTTCTGCACCCCAGCTGCGGATCTGAGGAGCCGGGGTTCCATCCCAGGGAGGAGGGGGGGGAGGAGGGGGAAGGAGAGGAGGAGGAGGCTGGTACAAGCCTAGCAAGCAAGCATGCAAACTTGAGCAAGTTCAAGGGTCAGAGTTCAAAGCCCAGTTTTGCCAACACTTAAATCAGAGCCGGGCTGGGAGCTGGGAACTTGGCTCCATGGTAGAGCGCTTGTCTCACCAGCATGAAGCCCTGGGTTTGATTCCTCAGCACCCCATAAGCAGAAAAAGTCGGAAGTGGTACTGTGGCTCAAGTGGTAGAGCGCTCACCTTGAGCTGAAGAGCTGAGGGACAGCGCCCAGGCCCAGAGTGCAGGCCCCACAACCTACAAAATAAATAAATACATACATAAATTGGACAAAAAAAGAGTCCCAGCTACTCAGGAGGCTGAGATCTGAGGATCGGGGTTCAAAGCCAGCCCAGGCAGGAATAGTCCCTGAGACTCTTACCTCCAATTCACCAGCAAAAATCACCGGCAAAAAGCCAGAAGTGGCGGTGTGGCTCAACTGGTAGAGCGCTATCCTTGAGCAAAAAAAAAAGCTCAGCAACAGCGCCCAGGCTCTGAGTTCAAATCCCAGGACAGGCACCAAAGAGAAAAGAGACGAGGCGGAGAGAGGTGTTCTTGTGGCTGCGGGGAGATGGCCTTGTTTGTCCCTAACCCAAGGTCCCCAGGGAGGCCGCCCGCGCCCCAGGGAGCCCCCAGGAGCTCCAGGAATGCAGCCATGAATTCTCCATGACTCCGGGCTCTGGGAAGTCAGCCCCCCGAGGCTTCAAGCCAGCCTCTCTCCTTAGGGGAGCCCCTGACACCCCCAGGCCTGAGCCACCCTGGGGACCGCGTTCTTCTGTCTGAGTCTCCAGCTCCCCGGGGCCTTGGCTCGCGGAGCAGCCACGCGCGGGGGGTGGGGTGGGGGGCCCGCAGGGCATTTTTTGGGCCAACACTGGCAGCCCCCTGGGTTCATCTGGGACCCCTGGGTCCCCCCAGCCCCCGGGCCGTCCCTCCGAGGGGCTCCAGCCAGGCTTGTGACCGAAGGTGGGAGAGGCTGCCTGTGGCTCTCTGCCTCCGCCCCTCCCCCGGCCTGGCGCTCCCCTCCCGCAGCAGCACCCCAAGGGGTTAACAGGAAGCGCCGGCGTCAGGCCGCCCCTCCCCAGACCCCGGCCCCTCAAAGGCTCCGGGCGGGGGGGGGGGCGGCGCAGGAAGCGGAAACCGGTCAGCCAGGCTCTGGGGGGGCTTTCTGTGGAAGCTGGGGGGTTCCCTGTGCACCCCATCTGGAAGCCAGAGGCCTTTGATCTCGGGTACGAGGGCCCCTCCCGGTCCGCCCCTCCGGGAGGCGCAGCCACACACACAGACACACAGACACACACACACACACACGCACGCACGCACACACGCACACACTTATACACGCGCGCACAGCACACACACGCACACACACATGCGCGCGCACACACACGCACACACCTATACACACGCACACACATACACGCGCGCACACATACACGCGCGCACACACCACACACGCTGACATATACACACGCGCACATACACGCACACACATACATACGCGCACACACACGCGCACATGCACGCACACATGCACACACCACACACGCGCACATGCACGCACACATACGCACACACAGCATACACGTACTCACACACACGCGCACATACACGCACACATACGCACACACATACACACATGCACACCACACACGCGCGCACACACAGGCACGCCCCTGTCCCGCCACGCCCGCGGGGCTCGGGCGG